TCTTTAGCAACTTTGTTGCGAGAGTATATGTACATATACTTATATTATTAACTGAGGCAAAGCCAATGTTATAATTCCATATAAATTAAGAAACATTTAGAGTAAGAATCACTTGTAAGAATGAAAATGAATTGTAAACCTTTTTCYATTATACTATATATTTAAATACTTTAAGCAGTAAATAGTGTAAAATATGTACATAGTAAAGATATACACCACTTAAAGTCAGTCTAAGGAATCAAGCCAATCTTTAATGAATATGATACCAGTGCCAAAGATGCCACTACATATGAAATATTTGATAAATAAAAGCTTACGGTACGAAAGAGGACTCTAGAGCTCAGCCATAGTACTCATTACATTGAAGTCTCCTACTTCTCCAAATAAAACTTTACTTGGCTGTCGAACTCGGTTATACAGTGTACTGTAGCATGTAAGCTACAACGCATCGGGACACTTTACCACTACCCACTAAAATAGCGCGAAACTAATATTGGGGATTTTAATGGCGCTACTAGCACGCCACTAACAATATGCGTCGCTCCCGGCATCTCGCTCTGCCGGCGCTAAGAATCTTAAGTTGGTGATAGCATAAGCTTAGATTTAAGTTTCACTTCTAATTCGGCTGTTCTTTAAGTTGGTTGGACATCGCTTCAACAACTTAGAAATTAAAGTTAAACAAAAATGTTTAAATAAAAACTAAAAATAAGTTAACTTACATAAGTACATACTATATATAAAAATGAATTGCAAAATGTGTTGCTAAGCGCATAACTCAACAACGCTTGGACCAATTTTGCCAATTCTTTTTTTTTTAATGCTCGTTGAGATTCAAGAAAGGTTTTTACCGCAAGAAAAACTCGAATAATTGCCGGAAAACCCGCAAAAACAGCCCTTTTATTTTTCCCATACAAACGAATAAATGTTTGTTTGTTAGTAACGCTAAGAGAACGGCTGCACAAATCTTGATGAAGTTTTCAGAGGTTGTTCGTTGTGGATCGAGGAAGGTTTAGAAATAAAAATACCTTATACTTTTCAAGAGGAAAAGTCGGAAAATTGGTTAATTCCAAAAAGTTACTTTTTTCCATACAAATATTTTGTTTGTTTTGTTTTTGAATATTTTGATTTGTAAATTATTTGAATAGTTAAATTTCGGTCGCTTGCTTTTTATTTCGGCTATTCAAATTAAAATTATTGAAAATTGGTTGAAGTTTTTCAAAAATTTCTTTTTGACCCATTAGATTTAAAACTTTACAAATGAGAAGTAATTATCACTCAGAACTACATACATATATTTCTATTGAAATAATAAATGCGTGGCAATAACAGCCAGGAGGGAATGAACAACAATTGACCAATTATTATCCGTTGAGCCATCCCGAACCATACGGCACCAGCGCAAGACAATTTCTTTGCTGTCATCATTTTACTATTGTTCTTAAAAAACTGTGTCAAAAACGGTGATTATAAATCGAACATTTTTTCTTGACAAATTTTACGAAATCTTGTCCGTTTACCAGAAATAATAAGACGAAATATTACCAAATAGTTTCCGTCTGTGGTCATTGGATCGTACTCATGTCAGGTATTAGGAATTGCTTTTGTATAGAAATAATAATGAAAATGCTGTGCTCATGAAATTTGTCCAGTTATAGAAGATGTCCGGCTATATGAACTGTCAGTAAGGGGAAATTATAACATGGAAAGGTAAACATCGACAAACCCAAGAAATTAAAGAGTTTTGCAATTAAGGCTTTCACTGCCAGCGTTTGTAGAATGACTTGTGTGATTTCGATTGGTGATTCTATTGTCCGGTAAACTCATCCGAAGGCATGCGGAGAATTTTCGAGGAAACACACTCAGAAATTCAACAGTTTTATTTATTAGCAAACATCGTAAATATTCATCCATTCATACATCTTTCTATCAAAATTAACTAACACGACACAAACTCTTCCGAAGCAGTTTTAAATCAAGCGGTAAATAACGGTTGGTTGTGTCCAGTTATCTCTAATAGACGTTGAAACTTTCTTATGTTTGCACATTTTAGGCCGTCTATGTACACTACCATAAAACCTAATCCATATGCTAAAACCGAAAACAATATTCAAAAAAAAAAAATAAAAATAAGTAAATTACACAACTATAMATACATATGTATATCAATACGGATTTCCATATTTACATTTTAAGAAAATAAAACTAGTTGACTATAGATTTAAGTATAACTAGCATTATATTCAACTACAGTTTTCCATGATGATTTACTCACAAGAACATATACCTTATGTATAATTAATATTCTAAGCTATGCATATGTCGATAATATTGTAGTACATGAAACCCCGATTTCCGTATCCTATTTACATTTCACTTTAAGGACATTTCTTCCGTGTCTGGCAAAATGAAAGATAAAGCACCAGCAGCTGCATGAGTAAAAATTATTGAATTAATATATGTATGTACATATGGGTATAATTAAGACAAGAAATAGGAGATAAGCATTACAATATGGTTTTTGATCATGTGTTCAATATGAACATGTATCTCCAAATATTAATATGTTATACCAGAGAATTATATAACTTCTTTATAGCCAATTAATAACTTAAATTTCCAGAGTCAAATAAAATTTACATATTATATATTGTATCAGGAAAAGTATCGAAAATAAGTATTACCAAGCAATACACCGCCGATCATTAGAAAAGGTTGTATACATCCCATTTCCATAAAAACAGGAAACAACATATTTCCAGCCAAAGCGCCCAGACGACCAAACATCATTGCGATTGCCACCACCAGTGATCTAGAAAGATATTGTTATCAAAAAATCTGAAAAAACAAGTAAGGAAATGCTAAGTTCGGGTGTCACCGAACATTTTATACTCTCACATCAAATACCGTATTTGTGTAAAGTTTTATTCCGCTATCATCATTGGTTCCTAATATATATACGAGTATTATACAGAGACGGACGGACGGACGAAAATAGCGTTATATTGGAAGGCGTACATGTCATCAGGGTGTTAAGAAAATATCATATACCGAATTTCATTGAAATCGGTCGAGTAGTTCCTGAGAT